GCTGTGAAGAGTTTTAAAACCTGACCGAAACACATCCATGATATTATGTTCGTCCAGGAAGGATTTTAGCTGCACATAAACAATTTTTTCCAAAGCCTTTGACAGTAGAGGTAGCTTGGAGATGGGCCTATAGTTCCCCAGTACAGTGGGATCAAGACCAGGTTTCTTTAACAGGGGGTGCACCACAGCATGTTTAAAATTAGCAGGAACTACACCAGATAACAAACTACAGTTAAAAAGGGAAAGAACCGAGTGCCTAAAACAAGGGAAAACTTCTTTTAAAAAATGTGGTGGAAGGGCATCACATGGAGAACCAGAGGGCTTAATCTGGGCAACCATATCCCCTAACAGAGACAAAGACACTGGTTCAAACTGATTAAAAACCACAGAACAGGGCTTACACACAGAGGGGTCAGAGTCTGGGTGTAAAATGGAGGCCCGTATGGAGGTAACCTTATCAATAAAAAACTGCATAAAATTATTACAAAGCTGAGCAGATGCTTCTAAACCAGCAGTGTGAGGAGAGTTAAGAAAAGAGTCAATAGTAGTGAAGAGAACACGGGGGTTGTGGCTGTGAGACAGAATTACRTTAGAGAAGTGTTCCTTTTTGGACATTTTTACAGTGTCCTGGTAATTACGCCAGCAGTCTCTAAACAACTGAAGGGAAACCTGCAGCTTGTCTTTTCTCCACTTGCGTTCCGCTCCGCGACATTCTTGTCTGACAGCTCGAGTCCTTTCGTTAAACCACGGTTCAGGTTTAGTTCTAGGCTGTTTGGTTTTTAAAGGAGCCACAGTATCCAGTACAGTCTGACAGGAGGAGTGGAGCCAAGAACTAAGCTCCTCAGCATCAGTTGGAGCAGCAGGTGGACAGAGCTGGGAGAACACTTCAGAAAACTGACTGGCAGTGGAGGGGTTAATAATTCGACAGCTCTGAGCAGGAGCGCGAGATTTAAGAGAAGCATTTTTAAAAACAGTCTGGAATATAACAGGCATATGATCAGAAATTATAGAATCAAAAATTTCCAGGTTAGACACAGGCAATCCAAAAGACAGCACGAGATCCAACGTGTGCCCTTTTTCATGTGTAGGTCCAGATAAACAGTGAAACAAATTAAAAGAGTCAATAAGAGCTGAGAATTCTGATACCAGAGGTTTATCTGGGCAACAAACATGTATGTTAAAATCACCAACAATAAGGCCATGATCATAGTCCATCACAGTCTCTGAGAGGAATTCAGAAAATTCATTAATAAAATCCTTGTTGTATTTTTATTGGACGGTAGATGACAGCACACAGAACCGGGTCAGAACGACCCACCTCAAAGGTGGTTAGTTYGAAGCTGGTGAATTGACGTTCTTTAAAACATTGTTTACAACTAAAAACATTTTTATACACCACTGCAGTTCCACATCCCCGGCCCGATTTTTGATCATTTTTAGACGGCTCTATTTTCTTATATGARGTGAAATGATTTTCAGTCCCGGGGTTCAGTTTCATGATTGTTCGAGTTTAAACAGTAAAAATCAAACAAAAAAAATCTAACACCATGTTCAGACGCACCTTACATCCAGAAAACAGAACAGAGTCATCTTTCTGTGGATTCAGGTCAGATTCGTGACTTTGTGGGTTAAAACTGTAGGCTGAAAAACTTGCGTGGCTGCCACACATTTTCACGCAACGTTTGTTTTGATAAATCCCAACGTGGGCGTAGAACCTGGTGCACGCTACTTTTTTGTGCGTATGCACCATTTATACATGAGGCCCCTGGTCTTTACGGATTGAAAATTTTCTTTGAGGAAATGTATTTTCAGATGCCAGGGATGACATGGTTCTTAAGGTATGGGTTGGTTTCCTTTTTTGGAAGTAATCCTCCGATGAAAAAATAAGTACTTAAATATTTGTGTGAGCCACTTTACAGATAATAGATTTCTGAACAAAATGGAGATTAACTGTGGACTAATAACATGATTATCACTAAAAGATGATGCAATTTCAACATTCAGAAAGACACAAACACTGCTGTTGTCTGCCCAGGTTAACTGAAAAACACATTGTTTTTAGCATCATTGCTGTTTGGACTATCTGTGAGCTACAGCTATCATTCATAACTTTATAATGATCTGTGTTCTTTAGCTGGCTTACACAATATTTTAGTAATAAAAAAATATAAATGGTAAATGGACTGTACTTGTATAGTGCCTTTATATCCATCCAGAACACTCAAAGCACTTCACACTACAGACGTTCACCTATGCACACACACATTCACACACTGATGATGGTAAACTACATTGTAGCCACAGCTGCCCTGGGGCACACTGACAGAAGCGAGGCTGCCATATACAGGTGCCACCAGACCCTCTGACCACCGTCAGTAGGCAAAGGTGGGTACAATGTCTTGCCCAAGGACACAACGACTGAGTCCACTGGACGGGGATAAAACCGGCGACCTTCCGGTTGCAGGACGACTCCCCTAACCACTCTACCACAGCCGCCACCAAATTTCCTTAACAGTGACGTGTGTGTATATGAGGATGACTGGGAGAAATCTTACCAAGCTGAAACGTTGTCTCTGTAATTGCTCCAGTTCTTCTGGGTCCGACGATAAGGTTCAGTGGTGTAGCCATTTTCCAAAACTGATATTGCATGTTTTTTTTATTGTTACAACAAAATAGGCCATAACACTCCAGTTTGTAAACAGCATGAAGCTGTTGTGATGACGTGTAGAAATGGGCATGACGGAAGCAGTAGGAAATTTTTAAAGAGACAGAGGCCAATTCCAAGGCATTTAGAAACGGCTACGATGTGAAGTCAAATTATTTTTTTCATTTACACATATGAACAGCATTTTCATAACAACTGAAGGTGACGTAGTTACTTGATTTTGGTATAGAATTGAACTGTATGCCTGAGAAACACATAATATTGGCCCTTTAAGATCACTTTACCACCTATTCCAAAGATAAATTGAAAAACAATATTTCAACTTTGTCTTTTGTTTCCTAACATATACAGTAGTGCATTTGAAATGTATGTAAATTTTATGCAATGTGAGCATCATTGGTATTCTAACAGTGTAACGGTTCATAGAGCTCAATCGGACCCATGACAAAACATCCTTAATTAGGTCTGAAAGTAATTAATTGAGTCTGGTTATCAGGATCATTCCTGCCACTTTGCTGAGAGCAGAATGACTGCAGTGGATTTATTGTGACGTTTCTCATTTTGCTCTGCCGAGGGTCCGTGACGAGCTGCAGCTGTCTGACAAAATGTCAGCAAAAATTCCTAAAAAACGAAGCCTCAGGATGATGTATCATCTGCCTCAGACTACAGTAAAAATGAATGCAYTGTTTCCAGATTACTGTACATTTATATTTAACATGATACAAAGGCAAAGTAGATATTTTTTTTGATTGACTCCAAAATATATGTTTGGAGAACATGTTTCTATTCAGAAAGAATCAAGTTTATTTATGTTTACACGTGAGGTTGCTGCATGAACAAGTTTACATCAGCTTAAAAGCTTTACTTGGTCAGCTGCMTTATTTTTATAAGAAATCTGTCTTCTTGTTGGTGTTTTGATTTTTAGGAGCAAATATTAAATGGAAGTTGGAAATTTTAGTTCCCATTAGCCCTTAAAAGACAACAAATACAGAACCTATATATAGTTAAATAAATAGTCTACATTTGCAACTTGTCTTATTACTCACCAGCTGGTTATTCTGATGAAGAGTAAAAGTACATTTACTCCAGGGAAATCCCACTGAGCTCACAGATTAAATTTGCAATGCAGGCCTGGGTCTGAAAGCAACCTTCTTGTTTTTAAACTGTGAGAAAACCACSCAAACACAGCGAGAATCGTCTTACTCCATTGGTGAAACATTTTAATTTTTAAGTGAGTCAACCTCTCTAAAATGCTTTGTTTMCATCCGGTCCTCTTCCTGCCCTGCTACCAGTGTAGTCTGTGTGATATTTAGGTATACAACCACTTTAAAAAAGCAAACAGCTGTATCAAGTCACAGTTTACGTCAGCACATATTCTCAAAAATGGAAGGTGGCGCTGAAGTATTGCATCACATTTGTCAAGTATAAAACTAGCTAAAATGTGCTACACACCCTTACACTTTTTTGTCACTGCTCTGCTATGTGAGCAGTGCAGAGTTTGGCATATAGTGAAAACATGAAGTGTAAACAGACCCCTATTTCAACCTTGATGCATTCAAATGATCCAAATGAGGTCTCTCAAAATGAAGCAACTGCAGACAGGCTGGAAAGGTATGCAAGAAGGGTTTGGAAAGAAAAAGCAACTGAGTACAAAGAATTTTGGAAAGCTTTGTCTACTTACTTTGAGTTCACTTTGCAGTAATTTTCTTCTGGACTGTTGGAATCACTGTATTATTTTTGTTATGTGCCACTGATTAGTTGTRTGTAAAAAAGTAAAATAGTTCATTTTTGGCCATTTCATTCAGTTATATCTATTTTTAAAATCTTAATCTAAACTTATTATCTGGTTTAAGGACAACATTTTTTCCCTTGTTTTAATACAAAACATTGCTTTTCTTGTCTTATTAATTAAAAAGGCTTTATTGCATTTAAAAATAAATAAGTCTTGAGAGTATAGAAGCTGAAGTGAGCTTCCTTTAAGTACTCAGATACTTTGGCTAAATTTATTTTAACAAAATGAAGCACCAGTATATGGGATGGTTTGAACCTGTTGAGATACAAGTTCAGTTTTGTTTAGGCAACATTTGTTAAACTTTTTTTAGTAAAAAAATAAAAAGTAAAAAAAGGGATGTGAACGGTCAATTGCTACTTTTCAGTTTCTAGACATTAGTTTTTACTCCACCTTTTATTTCCAGTCAGTCTTCGGTCAGTGCTTTAGTAGATAAATGTATCATTATGTGCACCAGCAGTTAACTTTGCCTGCTTTGCAGTGGATTGATTGTTCTTGTTTCTCTGTGGGAACTTTAAATTAGCACACAGAAGCAGAGCAGCTGAACCAGAACAAAGAAGCTGCAGCTGAAAACTGGAGCCRTAAAACACTGCAGCAAAAATCGTTCAACTCAAGATCCTAATCACAGTTTAAAATCTGGCACCACAATCTTTAAATAAAAACTAGTACCCCTTTTTGTAGTCATATTACAGTAGGTTAGGATCTGTGTATGTTGATGGTCCAGGTTTCAGTCCTCTGGTGGTCTTTAGGTATTTGTTATCKGATAAATAATTAGTTTTTTGTTCCCCATGTGTCATCAGCTTATTTTGTCCTAGTCCCTTCTGTTCCTGCCCCACCCACTCACCTGTTCCTATTTGTTTTCTACTCAGGTGTTTGTCTTTTGGTTCATTAATCAGATTTAGTTCAAGTCCAAGTATCCTTTATTGTCAAAATCTATGTAATAGTAACCCTATTACAGAGGTTGAAATTACATTTCACCAGTCTCCAATGTGCAGTTAACTAACATATAAACATATAGATAAGACGTTGACAGTAACCCTCCCCACATACATACCCACATTGTGCAGTAAAAAAAAAAATAACACACTGATACATGAGTTTACATTCTCTCCCCTGTGTTGAGGAAGCTTGGTTCAGAGACACAGCCCAGAGGACGAGATGATCCCAAAAGGTGGTTCTAGTCCCAACCGGTCATTTTTGCTCCCCTGCCTGGCTGCCTCAGGACACTACATGATTTCTCAAACATGCATGAATGAGTCAAAGCAAGACTCTGGGCATGTTTTTGATGAGATGRTAACATTATAGCACAATATAAAACTCAAAAAAGTTAATTTTACATGATATTGCCCCTTTAATGATATAAAATATGAATCTCTGCTGTTCTCTTACTACAGATGTACATTAAAAGTTTGGAGCATCTCCCCCAGCCTGGACTCTGTATCTGGGCTGAGTTCAAAATAGAAATGTCAGAAAGAACCAGCAGCGAACTGAGTGTAGTGAAATACAGTTGCTGTGAGCTCTGCATATTTTTTTTCATTTATGCAATCGCACTTAACCACAGTGACCCAGGAGGACAAAGAAAATGGCCCAAATGGAACCATGACATCTCCAGAGTAAAATGTCTAAACCTAATATTGGACATTTTTTCCACTGGATATGATCCAGCTGAAGAGGACTAATTTGACGTGTTTTAGGCTGAGTGAAGCTGCCATCTCTCTAAAGTGCCAAAAAAATATGTCGTTTAGGGTTTAAAAAGTCTGTTGGCTGCAACAAAATCTTGTGGTTTTTAACATTCCCTGTAAGACAAGGGCATTTTTTCCGTGTACCAATTATTCCCAGGCTGATAATGCACAGCTCAACAACTTCTTGCAAAAAATAAATAAAAAAATAAATAAAATAAAAAAACTCCCCGTGCGCGCGTTATTGTGCAGAGCACCGAAAAGTTAATGGCATCTGATAAGGGTGTTTCATAA